AACGTACTCAATAAACATAATTTTATAATTTTAACAACGAAAATGTCATCTGAGAAAACAACGATAACACAAATACAACCATTCCAAAGATCTGGTGTCAAAAAGTACATGACCCACTATAGAATCTCTAAATACATGGGTAAATCCTCAATACAACTGTTTGAACAATACAACTGTTTGAACTGTTTGAACAATACATGGATATTTGCAACCTGATCCAAATATCAATCCATTGTGGTATGCAACCCGATCCAAATATAACTCACAACACGACTCTATGGCCCACATCAGTCATCAACCGCTCACGTCTCAATGGCTCACATCTCATAGAATTAAGCCCAAACAGTATCACATATAGAAGGAAACAACAACATTTGATATGACAAACAAATAACGTACAAAGATTGAGATATAACATGTGGATGAGAATTATAACTGAGGATATGACTACAATCAAGGCAAACAACTCAACACTGCAAGAATAACCCTATTCTATCTCAAACAAACAAGCACATAGGCTAGACATGATTTCTAACATGAATCATAGCTCAAATAATCATACAAGTAGAGAAATTACAGATATAACGAGGCAAGATAGAAAAACAAGTCCCGTAATAGTCTAAAGTCCACCCGGATCATGAATACCCCGGTGCACACACACACGGCCGTCACCTAGCACGTGCGTCACCCCGAACACATCTCAAGTATCATAGTTCTCAGGGATAATTACCTTCAATAACAAGTTTGGATATGCTACTTACCTCAAAATGTGGGGATCAATACTCCAAAAAGCCCTTCCCATGCGAATCAACCTCCAAACGACTAGAATCTAGTCATAAACAACTTAATATCATCAAATTTGCCCTAGGAAACAACCTCAAATAATACAGCTTCGATGTTTAACAAAATCAAAAAGTCAACCCAAAAGGTCAAACCGAGCTCGCACCTCAGAACCCGACAAAGCACAAAAATTCCGAACACCCATTCGAATACGAGTCCAACCATACCAATTTCATCCAATTCCAACTCCGAATCGGGGTTCAAATCCTCAAATTACATTTAGATTTTTTTTTAACGAAAATCCCCAATTACTTCACTTAGTAAAAACAAGGATGAAATCATGGATAATGAACAAATCCTAGTAAAAAACACATACCCCAATCCAAATCGTGAAAATCCCCTCCAAGATCGCCCAAATCCGAGCTCTATGACTGAAAATGTGATAAAATAACCAAAACCTTCAAAATAAAGTATTTAAATAATTTGCCCAGGCATATGCATCGCGATCGTGGAAGCCAAAATACGCCAGCTCCAAATTGCCTTTCGCGAATGCGGTCCAATTGTTGCGATCGCGACCTTCAACAACCTAACCCTTCGCGAACGCATCCCCAATCTTGTGAACACGAAAGCCAACAGTCACAGCACTCTGCGAACGCGTCACCAACTTCGTGATCGCGTAGAACAAAACACCTGCTACCCAAAGTTCCTCTACACTATCCCGAAAATAGCTCTGCAATCGCAAAGCACTGTAGACACACCAGCAACCAGCAATTCCCAAACATATATGAATGATCCGAAACCACCTCGGAACTAACTTGAGCCTCCCGAGACCCCATCTAATCATGCCAACAGGTTCCAAAACATAACGTAGACCTGCTCGAGGCTTCAAATCACACCAAACAACATCAAAAAAACGAATCACATCTCAATTCAAGCCTAATGAATTAATGAACTTTCAACTTAAAACTCATGCCGAACTATATCAAATCAACTCGGAATGACCTCAAATTTTGCATGCAAGTCCCAAATGGCACAATGGGCCTATCCCAAATCCTAGAAACAAAATCAAAAACTCATATCAACAAGTTTAACTCCCGATCAAACCTATCAAACTTCCAAGCCTTCAACTTTTCAACTTTCGCTGATCCAAGCCAAACGACCTAGGAACCTCCAAATCCAAATCCAGACACACGCCTAAGTCCAATATCACCATATGAAGCTATTGGAAGCATCAAAATATCATTCCGGGGTCATCTACACAAAATTTAAACTCCGACCGGTCATCTACACAAAAGTTAAACTCCGGTCGACTCATACAACTTAAGCTTCCAACCTTGGGACTAAATGTCCCAATTCAGTCCAAAAGCTCCCCGAATTCAAACCAACCACCCTGGAAAGTCACATACCCACAAATACACATATGTGAAGAATCAAATAGGAAAACAGGGCTAAAATACTCAAAATGGCTGGCTAGGTGGATACATTCTCCCTCTCTTAAACAAACGTTCATCCTCGAACGAGTCTAGAATCATACCTGGAGTTTAAAAAAGGTGAGGATATCTGCTGCGCATCTCCTACTTGGTCTCCCATGTAGCCTCCTCGACTGACCTCTCTAATGAGCCTTCAACGATGATATATTCTTCGACCTCAACTTTCGAACCTACCGGTCTAAAATGGCCACCAACTCCACATCATAAGTCAAATCCCCATCCAACTGCATCGTGTTGAAGTCCAAAACATGTGATGGATCCCCATAATATTTCTCAAGCATAGAAACATGAAACACTTGCTGAACTCCCGATAGACTAGGTGGGAAAGGCAAGTCTGTACGCCACCTCTCCCACTCTCTCAAGCACCTCAAAAGGAACAATATACCTAGGGCTCAACTTGCTCTTCTTCCCGAACCTCATCACACCCTTCATGGTCTAATATCTGAGTAGAACCTTCTCGCCCATCATATATGCAACATCACATGCCTTTCTGTCAGCATAACTCTTCAGCCCGCTGTACGATGCCGCTCCTAAATCAACTTCACATTCTCCGAAGCAGCACAGACCAAATTATTGCCCAGCAACCTAGCCTCCACAGGCTCAAACCAACAAACAGGAGAACAACACTGCCTCATATATAGGGTCTCATAAGGAGACATCTGGATACTCGTATGATAACTATTGTTGTAGGCAAACTCCATTAGTGGTAGAAACTGACTCCATGATACTCCGAACTCAATGACTCAAGCTCGTAAAATGTCCTCCAATATTTGAATAATGCACTCGGACTGCCCGTTCGTCTAGGGATGAAATGCCATACTCAACTCGATCTGTGTGCCCAACTCCCACTGCATTGCTCTCCAAAAATACAATGCAAACTGATTGCCTCGATCCAAAATAATAGACACAGGCACACCACGAAGACGAACCATCTTAGGAATGTAAGTTCGAGCCAGCTACTCTGAAGAGTAGGTAGTCATGACTGGAATGAAGTGTGCAGACTTGGTCAGTTTGTCCACAATAACCCACACTGCATCAAATCTCCTCAAGGTCCATGTAGTGATACACTCTCACTTCTACTAAGAAATATCGAGCCTTTGTAGCAAATCACCAGGTCTCTGATGCTCGTACTTCACCTGCTGACTGTTCAAACAGCGAGCAACATACTCAATAATTTCCTTCTTCATCTTCCGCCACTAATAGTGCTACCTCAAATCATAGTACATCCTCGCGGCCACCTGATGATTGGAATACCGCAAACTATGGGCCTCTTCAAGAATCAACTCTCGCAACCCATCCATATTTGGAACACAGATCCGGCCTTGAAGCCTCAATACCCCATCATCTCCAATAGTAACTTCCTTATCATCACCATGCTGCACCATGTACCTTAGGACAAGTATGTGGGGATCATCATACTAACGTACCTTGATGCGCTCAAACAAGGACAACCGTGATACAACACAAACGAGAACCGTGGTGGACTCCAAAATATCCAACCACACGAACCGATTGGCCAAAGACTAAACATCCAATGCTAACGTTCTCTCCCCAATGGAATATAAGCAAGACCCCCTATGCTCTCAGCCTTCCTACTCAAAGCACCGACCACCACACTGGCCTTCCTTGGAAGATAATGAATGGTGATATCATAGTCCTTTAGTAGCTCCAACCATCTCCGTTGCCTCATGTTCAGATCCTTTTGCTTGAACAAGTGCTGGAGACTCCTGTGATCTGTGAACACCTCGCAGGACACGCCGTAAAGATAATGCCTCCCAATCTTGAGCGCGTAAACAATAGCTGCCAACTCCAAATTGTGCACTGGATAGTTCTTCCCAAGGGGATTCAACCGAAGCGAAGCATAACCAATCACTCTCCCATCCTGTATCAACACACACCTAATACTAATACATGAAGAATCACAATAGACTGTATAAGAACCCGATCTAATGCCAAAACCAGAACCGGAGTTATAGTCAAGGCAGTCTTGAGCTTCTGAAAGCTCTCGTCACACTCATCAGACCACCTAAATAAGGCACCCTTTCGTGTCAATCTTATCAATAGGGCTGCTATAGATGAAAACCCCTCCACAAAACGGCGATAATACCCAGCCCACCCCAAGAAACATTGGATCTCAGTAGTAGTAGATGGTCTAGGAAAACTCTGAACTGCCTCAATCTTCTTCGGATCTACCTTAATCCCCTCACTAGACACCACGTGACCCAACAATGCCATCGAGTCTAACCAAAACTCACACTTAGAGAATTTAGCGTATAACACACTACTAGAAAATAGGCCTAAGGCAACGCCACACGTTCCGTTGCCATAGTAAAAACATCCGTTGCGATAAAGCTAGTGCCACAGTTTAGCGTCTGTTGCGGGAACTTGCGTCGCCATTGGTCTATTGCAACATTTTCAAGCAACGGTTTAATAACCGTTGCCATAGGCACATCTACTGCGACGGTTTTATTATGATCAAAATCAACGATTAATAGTGAGTTATGGCAACGGTTTTGAACCGACGCTATTTGTGTATTGCGACGACTGAGAACCGTTGCTATAGACATTACAACATTTTATATATTATTCTGTTTTACCTGTTGGAACGGTTATTACAAGCTGATGCAACGGTTATGCTGAGCTACTGCAACGCTTATCCTGAGCTAGTGTGACTCCTGTTGGAAGCTATATAACGGTATCGCAACAAGATAAATATATAATACACTGAAATTAATATATAACTGACGAAATGAAAATATATTCATCAACAGAATCATAATTCAAAATATACAACTACCATTATCCATTTATATAAGTAAAATATACGATAAAAGTGTTTAATAATCCAAGAGTTGGAATACATAAGTTTGCAAAATAGTTCAAAAATAAAAACATTCCTAGATTGTCTGAAGATTTTTCGACCAATACTTTTAGGTAAGGTCTTCACTGCTTTCATCTCCCCCTTATCATTTGGTTCACCTGTAAATTCAACAAGAACAGAAATAGTTAGAAGGTAGGAAAAAAAGTATTGCCTTCTCAATATCATTATTATTGCACTATATATTAACACCAATAAAATAATATGAGTACTTAGAAGACAAAATAAAAGATGAAATTGGCATTGCCACTTCAGAAATCAAGCTACAAAAAAGAACTAGAAGTCCAAGTCCAAGTATGTTCCTTCGTATCTCTTCTCTTCGTTTTAGATAAGGCAAGAAAAAGATGTTCTGCTGCTGATTTTCATATTGATATTTTTATTTTTAAGCTGGAAGTTTGCCCGTTCTTGTTGTACTTCTAATCTCTCCAATCAACCAGAACTACAAACAGTTATCTTTTTGTTCTATACAGGACCATTTGACGCCAAAAAGAAAAAAGAAAAAGAAGTAAAAACTATAAACATAAACTCTGCTAATTAGTACTCATGCCTCGTCACTTTTTACGACTTCTATGGGTGGTATTAGTACTATGTACTCATTCCCTTGAAGAAGGAAAGGTGACATGCATAAGTGCGGGGAATCACTACTGGAAATCCATAAGAATTGGCCTTATCATTTACTTGATTTGGCAATCAATTATGGGACAAGTGGAGGAAAATATGAACAACTCCTCATTGCTGCAGCATAGTTTAACACAGGAGATACCAAATAGTGTAAGGATCTCAACAACACACAAAGGAACAACACATGACATCGAGATCAAAAGCAGCTGGATCACAGATGATCACAACAACCATAATGCTGTAGAACAGACTTGTAGGTGGATATTCTACTCTTGGAATCCATCTACACATACAGGGAGTCAGGCATCAGGAATATCACAATGGAATCCATGGAATCAAAAGGAAGGCATGAAATTAGCTAGGAAATGCAATCAGCAGGAGTACATACAGGGAAACTTCTGGATAATACAACAGCTTTTAGCTGGACATAGTGAAGTTGTGCTAAAGTTAAACCTAAGGAAATTTTCACACGCAGCTAACAACATATATCAGGCACACAAGAGGAGAGGCAGAAATCATTTTCACGTAAGGATCGCAGTCAAAAAGAGTAGGAGCCAAGGCATGATCAACACAGATGTGTGGAGCTGGGCAAGGACTGAAGCAGACAGATACAACTGGAGGCAACATGATACAAAAGTTGAAGAGCACTGTAATGAGATTATTGGGCTAGTTTTTAGACATAAATATTACATTAGACCTCATGTGCTATCATTGTTGAGTTTAACACTCAACTTTATATTTTCAGTTAAAAGCTTTTCAAAAAGACAGAATCAATTCTTGAACGCAAGCTGGATGTCTACCTCCAGTTACTACATGTTCTCTCAGTATATGTAACGAGCATTTCTGAAAAAGAGACTGCTAAACCATCAGAACGACTAAGAAATAGCATTCTGTTTAAAACCTCGGCTTTAGCCATTGGCATATAGTCGTCTTGCTTATCTGTTTTAAAATTTCAGTAGCACAATGAAACACTAGTAGATCAATTAATTAGAAGTAGCAAAGGATAGTAGTTTGAGAGACACAGATGGTGCACACAACAAAAGAGTATGCAACAGAGATTAGTCTTTATTTTTGAGAGACACAAATTGCGCACACAACAAAGAGGAAAAGAGAGATCAGTCTCTGTTGTTTAGAGATACATATTGCGCACACAACAAAGAGGAAAAGAGAGATCAATCTCTGTTTCTGAGAAATCAGTCTCCGTTTCTAAGAGATACAAATTACGCACACAACAAAGAGGAAAAGAGAGACCAGTCTCTGTTTCTGAGAAATCATTCTCTATTTTTGAGTGATACAGATTGCGCACACAACCAATCTATAACTAATATCGAAAAGAAATCGAACCTTGATTGTTGCTGCTAAAAGATGGCCTGTTGATTGGTTGAATAGCTACTTGTTGTGCGGACGAAGCTTCTCCTGGTGAACGAGCACACAAGTTTGCTATAATATTAGGATCAATTTGCAATCCTGAACGCTGAAGCTGTACAAAGATATCTCCTAGAATTTCTTGTCGCATCATTCTCTTCTGTTCCTCATATTGTTCCTTCTGTTTCTCAAATTGTTCCTTCTGTTTCTCAAATTGTTCCTTCTGTTCCTCGAACATTCTTGTCATCCTTTCTTCCATTTGTTGCACCAGATCATTTGTAGCATTTGAAGAGGATTCAAAATGTCCCATTTTTCCTTTCAAAGAAGTTCTTGTAACCCCTCGTCCATACAATCTAAGACGTCCCGGATGTTCAGGTCCCATAACGACTGCAAATGCATTAACAGAACTGCTACCATCTTCACTTTGTTGTGTTTCAATTTTTTCCATTTCACCCTATAATACAAATTTTTAAAATGAAAATTCTAGTAACTAAAAGCCAGTAAGAACAAATAATAATTCTCAATAAAAAAGCAATAAGATAGAATTCGCACAATTTTAGTAGTTGTATCTTCATCAGATTCCTTGTATGACCTTCCAGGTTTTCTTGCTCTTGTAGCCACAAAGAATTCTCGAAGAGATAAAGGTTCAGAAGTGTTCTTCTCTTTTTCCTAGATACATTAAGAGTGGGTGTCAAAAATATTCTTAAAAATGACAACATGATCATATTTACTGATAAATAAGAGCACACACCTATTGCAGACTACAGCAAAGCTTGTTTTGCCAGCTTTATGTGGATTCTTCAATTTTTTTCGATTCTCGATATTGATCTCTGACATTTTCTTCACATAAAGGAGTCAACAAGACCAGAGAAAGAAGTGTTCAGTTAAGTTGTACCTCAAATCAGCTCATAGATACTCAAAAATGCTAAATCATCCCAAAAAATGATATAATCAAGAAATAGCATAAAAAATTGTTCATCAATGAGCCATTTCAAAGATAGCAACTTTGAGGCAAAAATACCCCAAATAATTCAATATATATCAGTTGGCACAAAAAGCATTAATTTCTTTATGCTCTGTATTAAGGATTAACTAATATATGCTATTAACATAATGAAGACATTACACATTTTATTGTGCGACTCAAATTTGTTGCAAACAATCACAGCGATCAGGGAGGAGAAATGGACGGTGGAGCAGGAAATGATACCATTTTACTCGATAGTCGAGCTCTTAGCAATCTCTCAACAGTTTTGATGAGTATTGGTAGTGAGAAAACTGCCGAGCTAAAGTCAGTATGTGAAGATATGCACAATCTTTATGGTGTAATTAATGACTTTGATAAGGAGATGGGCATATTGAAGGAGAAGCTGGAAATGAAGGAAACTGAAAACTTACTCCTCAAGGAATCCGTTCAAAGACTAGAAGAGGAGCTCCATGAAGTCAGGGAATCTAACTGTCATTTGGAACTCTCCACTGGAAAAAAATTATTTGATAAGCAGGAAGCAGGGTTCTTGGAAGCCAAACAGAAGCTTATAACATCTGAGAATTTGAACTCACAATTGTGTAAGACTCTCGATGCACTAAAAACTGACCGTCACGAATCCATGCAGACAAATGAAATTCTAGAAAAGAAGATAGTTGAAATATCAAATACAATACTCAAAGCCAAGAAATTGAAGTCCTTCGGGAAGTGAATATGAATTTGGTAGCTGAACTGGGTAAGTTGCATGAAGAACTGGTTTAATCTTTAATGAATTTGCTTCAGTTTTACATCTTTTTCCTGCGTGTGCGGATTGATCTCAGCAACGGTTGTGGTCATATCATGGTACTATCTAACGAATACTATCAGTACGCTAATCTCATTTTCCAGTCACAAAGCACAGAAATTTGAGTCGCACAATAAAATGTGTAATGTCTTCCTTATGTTAATAGCATATATTAGTTAATCCTTAATACAGAACATTTTCACCTCGATGTTCATCAGATTTTGGGCACTGTCGAGGAATGGTAGATGAACTTTCTGTCTCAAAGCCTAATATGTACTAGCCAGGTGAGTCAATTGTGTTCTTGTACATCTTAATTATCTCAGTAGACATAATAAGCTCAGTGTTTTAAAATGGCCAAGCAAGTAAATGAGCTTGGGGCAGTATTTCAGCTTTCCACATTTGTTGAGTGAATCTAGATTATAAGGAGAGAGTAAACTTTAAACTGAAAACTTACCCATTGGTAAAAGTGAACTTATTAGGAAAACCAACAATGCGTAAAGGAGATCTAGCCACAATAACAGTAGTATCCATATCAATCAACCACATAAATATTTCAGCAAGATAACAACCAAGTTTTCCGGCCACAGTAACAGTAGTAGCCATATCAATAAACATACCATGCTCAACAACACCAGCAAGTCTCAAAATAGCATCACTTGCAGCTTTCAAATCTCCCATATCTTTCTTGAAATACAAATCAATAATATAATTACCATTATCAGTAACATAAGCTTCACCATTTTCTCCAACAGTTCTCAATTTACCAACACAACCAGCTTTAATAAACAACATTTCAAGCCTTTTAAGTGTAAATTCCCAACAAAAGGGAACAATTTCGACAGGCATAGCAACTCCACTACCACCTAAATAATTCACCAAATTTGTTTCTTGTTTCACTTTACTCTCAAAATATAAAATATGATTGCCCTATTTTTTTAATTTAAATGCAAATATACCATTGTTTGTAAGTTATAAGTTTTAGTTGCTACAAGTAGTTGCCAAGCAAACTATCACACATGTTCTTCTCGATGTGCATTACATCAAGATTGTGTCTCAATTTGTTATGTGCCCAATACGGCAATTCAAAAAAAAATGATTTTTTCTTCCATGGACCCTCATTACCCCGGCGCTGTTTCTTTTGACCCTTTCCAAAGACATGATTAAATTCACGCAATTCTTCTAACACATCTACACCTGACAAGGGAGTAGGTGATGTTCTATGATCCTCTTTACCATCAAATGATTTCTTATCTCTTCGAAATGGATGATCAGGAGGCAAAAATGCCCGATGACCCAAGTAACACATCTTACAACTATGTTTGAGATACTGAGAGCATGTGCCATAATTACAAGTCGGGCATGCCAGTCTCCCCTTGGTGCTCCATCCGGAGAGCATTGCTAGTGCTGGAAAATCACTAACTGTCCACAACAAGGCTGCACGCATTTGAAATGTTTGGTCAGATTTAGCATCATATGTTTCTACTCCTGTTTCCCATAGTTCCTTCAATTCAACAATTAGTGGTTGTAAGTACACATCTATATCATTTCCTGGTGAAGGACCTGGAATGATCATTGACAACATTATATACTCCGCCTTCATGCAAATCCATGGTGATAAATTATAGTTCATTAGCATAACAGGCCATGTGCTATGGGAGATGCTCATGGTTCGAAACAGGTTAAAACCATCACTTGAAAGACCCAATCTAACATTACGAGGATCCCGAGAGAAATCCTTGTGCAAGAAATCAAAATTCTTCCACGCTTTCCCATCAGCAGGATGTCTTAAATTCCCATCATAGGGTCGTTCAGTAGCATGTCATCTCATAGCTGCAGCTGTTTCAGAGCACATGAATATCCTCTGAAGCCTAGGCTTTAAGGGAAAGTACCTTAAAACCTTTGCAGGGATTTTTGAGCTTGCATTAGTCACGCCATCAACAACATTCTTCCATCTAGAAGTTCCACATACAGAGCAATTATCATTCTTCTCATTTTCATTCCAAAAAAGCATGCAATCTTTAGGGCACGCATGTATGTTTTCATAATGAAGACCCAAATCTTTTATCATATTTTTTGCCTTGTAAAAAGACTCGGGTAGCTTAGCAAATAGAAATGCCTCTTTTAACAAGTCTAACAAGTCTGAAAAAGCCACATTACTCAAGCCATGAATGCATTTGATTAAGTACAATCGAATGGTGAAACTCAGTTTAGAAAAATTCTCACACCCCGGATATAACTCTTGTTTTCCTTCCTCCACTAATTAAAAAAAATTTCTTTGCATCTTCAGATGGTCCCTCTCGCACACCTTCTTCATGCCTCATGTCACCCTCAACATTTCTAAAAGTGTCATGAAGTAGTCCATCAATATCATCATGCATGTTGGAACCCTCATCACCATTGCTTTGATGTGGATTATTTCTCGAGGAAATCTTTTCCCCGTGGAAAATCCATTTGGTGTATCCTTGAATAAATCCATAAGCAACCAAGTGATCCTCTACCACATTTCTAATACGCCAATAACAATTAGCACATATTTTGCAAGGACATAATATTTCATTGCCTTGGGAAGCCCGTTCAAATGCCTTATCAAGAAAATCATTCACTCCGCTAATATACTCATCTGTGGATCTTCGGAGAGCCATCCAACTTTTATCTCCATTATCCATTGAATATTAAATCCTTATGGGTCACAAATGCAAATCATAAAAATTAAGATCTAAATAACAAATTTCAGAAATTACTGGAGGTACATAATTATATCACTTAATCCAAAGCTTTCTCTACTGCACAAAAAGAAAGAGATGCAAACTATGACAATGATATTAATGGCGAGACCAACTAATGTGCTAAAGTAGCATATATGTGATAATACTGAAAAGTTATATGCATTATCTCGTGTATTTTGAAACAATCATGGTATTAGGGGTGTTCAAAACTGAACCGAAACCGAAATCCGAACCGCAAAAGTGGCTTAATGACTTATTGGTATCGGGTTAACGGTTTAATGGATGGGGAATATATTGAATTTTTTTTTAACGGCTTATCGATTTGGGGGCGGATTATTCAATTTTCTTAACGGATAATCCGTTAAGAATATATATATATAATTATTTTTATCCATATGTTACTATGTATATTAAATAATAAAAATTCCTTCCACACTTCCACTTCCAGTACTAGACCTCTATTGGACATTTAGACTTTATACTTGCGATGTCTGTATGATTTGCTTTATGACTACTTTGGACAGTGCTTAGTTAAAGCCTCTCAAATGCTTTATATCCTTCTTGGGGTTTAGTCACATGGTACTCTCAAGTTTCATGCTAATTAACACTTTGTTGTATTTTTACTTAAGACACAAAACTAACGTTATTTTACTGTAATTATCTTCTTAGAACATTCACAAGGTTCTACACCCTTCGTTAACAGTTATATCATTTAGATTGCAGTTGATTAGTATGCTTGTTCATTCGATGTCTGTGCAACATATATTCACAAGGTTCTACATAACTTTTATGAACTGTGAACAAGACCAACAAACTAGCTAGCTGAAATGTAACACTATACTTGGTGTTTCCAGTAGCCCTGCTACTCAAAAGTAATTCTTGCAGGTATAATCTCCTAAAAAGTAAAGCAAGCCAAGAACTTATTAGTTACCTAGAGAAATGGTGGTACTAAATGTTGCATTTTCTTTTCAAATCGGGATCTTAATTAGAACTTCATCGACTATCTTTTCTCGTAAATAGATATATCAGATTTCTTGAAAGAATGAAGAACACTTTTCATTGGGGGAACAAATTTTGGTAGGACAAGTTCAGCACTTTTCATTGCCACTAGCTATGATTACGACGCTCCGCTAGATGAATATGGTATGGAAAATAAAGCAAGCCATATAACTGTGTTTTCTCAAATTTACACACATTTGCACATCTGCACAACAAATGGAAAGTTGATTTGTGTGAAGCGTATTTCAAGTGTAGTAAGTATTTTATTTTTCACTAACTTCTCTTGCTACTTCAACTAAATATTTTCTTTAGAAACCGAGTGCTAGCTCAAACAATGTTTTCATGTTGTTCAGCACGATGATCTGACCTTCTCGTGCTATGGAATTTAGCAAATTAAGCGCATATATCCTCTAGTCAGTTAAGAAGAAAAGAAGTATAAAGCTTAAATCTACAGGGAATAAATCACAAGGGATGCTTGCGTGCATGATCCTCTACTAGCAGTTCTCTACCCATGTCTAGATAATGTGTCTTAATTATATATATCTATAGCTGCCCCCACCTCCCTTGTCCGCACAACCAGAAGTAAAAATTAAAGAGTGGCGGAGAACAGTAAATCAAATATGGAACCCCATGTTCAATAGAAGGTACAAGCTGCACCAACTTTGATCAAAGTATATGACTATTAAGATACCAGGCTTCTTATGCCAAAAAATGAAAACTAGTGGTAAAAGCCTTTTTAAGCAAAGATCTATAAGCATTATTAACACAGATTTTAAAAAACACGGAACTTACTTACCAAATATTTTCACTTGCAGTTGGTTCCTCAAGCAATCCCAATAGTAATTTGCTTCCCGGACTTGAAAACAGAAGTACTGTTTATGTTTTCAACTGCAGGATTCAAGGAAAGGAAATCCCAAACCTATAACTTTGTGTATAAGATCATAAAGCAAGAAAATATGAAAGAACTTGTGTACATATTAGGCTAGGTGAAATAGAGAATACTTGTAATATGTTCATTCATTTGCTAAGAGATGAATAACAGAAAGCAGAAGCATTCATACCAAAGTTCTCAAGCAGAAGCAGAAAGCAGAAGCATTACATCTAATGAGAATTGCTTCAAGAATGAAGACTCAAACGTGAACACGAGGATTATTTCATTGGAAATAAGTTTCAAATGCTATTCATACAAGATAAGTGCTGAGAGATTGATTTCATGGAAAAAAGGCCCAAGATTTTATTCAACCACTTCTAAGAAAGTTGTCTTAAATTAGCATCAAATTCATAATTCTCATAATCCTTGCAATGCTATAGCGAGTCGACCCAAATGAAAATTGGATCAAACTACTCCATAGTCACAGTTATAAAAGTATATTTCTTGATTCCCTAAATTAACTACTGGAATTGAGGAATTAACACAGAATATGGAATGTTGATATAGGGAAAAACCCTACCAATAAAAAACCAACCTCCATAAATGTAATGACTAGAGTAGGACAATAAAACCAACTACTTAAACCCCAAATAAATTTAGTCCAAGAGGAGAATTTCAACCTAAGAAAAATCACACCCAAAAGACTTACTCGTTGAATTACCCAAACCTATTTGCACAAGCAGTCGATTCACCAGAAAAAATTCAAACTTTATGTATCAAGAGACTAATATTCCTATTATTCATCACACTAATTGTAATCCACAGAAACAGAAGTGAGCTAACACTAGTTGTAGCACAAACTCAAACACCCAACAGAACCACACAATACGCAAGAATTCCAAACTCCAAGGTCAAGAAATGGGAAAAAGGAGAGTAATACTGTAGCTTCAAACTGGAGATGCCTCAATAAACTCTCTGTTGATGAATGAGAGCAAAAATTTTAGAAAACAAATCTGTTTTGAAGAAAAAGAGAGTTGGATAGAGATCAGAACCTCTAGGACAGGTCTTTTAGGGCTGAACAACGCTCTTGGATTTTCCGGCCCTAAGCCTTTCTCGCGGTGGCAGCTTGAGTGTGGACGCAGGTCTTTTAGGGCTTGTATCAAATTTAGGCTTTTTCTTTTTTGTATCTGTATTAGGACATTAACTTTTTATTTCTGTTTTTCCTTGAGACGCTTTGTCTCTGTTTTGTGAAAACAAGGCGCGAAAAAGTTAGAAGAGGGAAAATAGGGAGGGAAAGTAAACCGACCCAGTAGCCCTTTTTTTAAAGAACCGTTGCCAAAAATGACTCTATTGCAACGTTTGTTTTACTACCTATCTTAGTAGGTATGAGAATATTATGCGACGGTGGTAACCGTTGTCATAGGTATTTTATTGCAACGTTTGAGTAACCGTTGCTAAAATACTGTTGCCATAGGTCTATTTTCTAGTAGTGACATCTTCTCCCTCAAAACCTGCAGAACGATCCACAAGTGTTGCTCATGATCCTCCCGGCTACAAGAATACACTAATATATCATCAACGAAAACTATGACGAAGGAATCAAGATGAGGCTGAAATATGTTGTTCATCAAGTGCATAAAAGCTGTTGGGGGCATTAGTCAGCCCAAAAGACATTACCAGAAACTCATAGTGACCATAGCAGGTCATGAAAGCCGTCTTCACAATATCTAAAGCTCTGAACTTCAAATGATGATACCCCAATCACAAATCAGTCTTCGAGAATACCTTAGCACCCTCAAGCTGATCAAATAAGTTATCAATACGCGGTAGTGGGTACTTTTTCTTGATAGTAACCTTGTTCAACTGTCTATAGTCAATGCATATCCTCATTGAACTATCTTTCTTCTTCACAAATAGAACCGGTGCACCTCAAGGCGACACACTGGACCTGATGAAACCCTTATCAAGTAATTCATGTAACTGCGCCTTCAACTCCTTTAACTCTACTAGTGCATGCAATTCGTTGGAATAGAGATGGGTTGAGTGCCCGACACCAAATCAATGCCAAAATTAATATCCCCATCGGGTGAAATGCCCGACAGGTCTACAGGAAACACATCTGGGAACTCCCTCACTACTGGACCGACTCAATAGTAGTAGTATCAGCACTAACATCCTTCACAAAGGCTAAATACACCAAATACCCTTGTCAACCATCCGTTGCGCCTTCAGATATGAAATAATTCTATTAGGAACATGATCCAGGGAGCCTCTCCACTCCAACTTCGGCAGCCAATCCATACCCAAAATCACATCAAAATCCACCATGCTGAGAAATAAGAGATCCACTCCAGTCTCATAACCCTCAATAGTCATCACACAAGACCGATATACTCGGTCCACCATAATAGAATCACCCACCGGTATAGATACATGAACATGCATAAGTAAAGAATCATGAGGCATATCCAAATAACGAGCAAACTATGATGACACATATGAATAAGTGGAACCAGGGTCAAATAATACAGAAGCATCTCTATTGCACATGAAAACAATACTTGTGATCACGGTGTCAGAAGCAACTGCCTCTGGCTCGGGGGAAATGCATAGCAATAGGCCTGACCACCACCTAACCTCTCCCTCTCCCTCTAGGGTGATCTCTTCCCATACGACCTCCACCTCGAGCTAGCTAAGTAGGTGGTGTAGCAACAAGTGCCAGAGTCATAGTCTGACCTCCCTGCTCTACGAGACCTTTGCGAAGATGGAGAAATACCTCCTCACATACCCCAAGTCCCCACACTCGTAGCAGCCTCGAAGTAGGGATGAATGCGGGGCCTGAATCGGACTCTGTGAACCAGAATAACCACTAGAAGAGCTCAACATTAATGAACCCTGAACTGATGGAGTACGATACGAGCTCTGAGCTGGTAGTGCACTGAATGATGACTGAACTAGGCGAGCACTATATGAATTGTGGCTAACTGACGAACCACAAGGAATCTGATGAGCTACCTGAGCATGCCTAAAAGGATAACCTCTGCTATGATATGACTGGCCTTCTGAGAGGTACCACCAAAACCACTTGAACTATGGGGCTTCTTGCCCTCCCGCTCCTCTCACTCAAGGTTGCAAACATGCACTAAACGGCTAGCAATCTCAACCACCTGGTCAAACCTGGCATTCATCTCGGCTTCGCGAGGCAAACTATAACATAGACCATAAATGAGTCCATTAATAAACTTCCTGATCCCCTCTCTCTCGGTGGGAACAAACCATACTGCGTGACATGCCAAATCCGTGAGTCTCATCTTATACTAGGTCATAGTCATATCTCCTTAGTGTAGTTGCTCAAGCTCTCTATGCAGCTCCTCTTTGCAAGTCCATGGAACAAACTTCTCTAAGAAGAGAACTCAGAACTAATGCCATGTAAGTGGTGGCGTCAACTGGCCCGCCTAACTCATTTTCCTGCCACCATCTGTAAGCTGCCCTGTCAGCTGGAAGGTATTAAAGGCAATTCCTGGTATCCACAATACTAGCTGTGCGAAGAATTTGATGATACTAATCCATAAAACCCTAAGCATCCTCTAACTCTCCTCCACTGATCTTGGGAGGATCAAGCCTCTTAAATTGCTCTAACCTTTTCTGCTCCTCGGACATAGGTGGACCCACCTCAGCCCGAGCAACAACAACTGGCTGAACTGGTAGAATCCTGGTGTCTAATAACCCTGTGCTAGCTGCTCCAGTGTGCGGGAGGCAGGAGTTTGGGCTCCTCACCCAGCCTCTGAGGTAGCTGGTGCAACCGATACTATACCCACCTGAGCCAAGCTTGTGTACACACTCAAGATCTGAGCCAAAGTCTCCTGAAGACCAAATATAGCAATAGGCACTACCGGTGTCTGAGCTGGTCCCACCGGCTCAACAGTATTCAAAACCTGCTCCTCCTTTGGAGCAATTGGTGGTTCCACAAGTGCTGCTCTAGCGGTAGAGCGAGCCCCACCTCGGCCTCTAAATTGGCCCCAACCTCTCGCAGCCCTGATTTATTGATATGCCGTTTCCTTATTGATATATGCCGAGATGTCCGTCATCGGTCAGCTATTGCGGCGGGAATCTTGGCATATATCAATAAGGAACTGGCAAATCAGCAAATTAGGAGATTTTTAACCTTTTATAGAATTGTACCCAAAGTAGGATTCCCCTACTATATAAAGGGGGTCTAATTACCTGTAAAGAACATTGTAACAATCATTCAGAAGCATTATACTGTTATTTTCTCTTTAAAGTTCTTATTCAACTGTGTCTTGACACTGATCGAAGTGTATTTTGTCCAAGGGTGGCTCACCTCCTAAGGCTTTAACTATTCAATTCTTGTGGTTTGCATTTACTTTATCATACTTTATTTCAGTTGCAATTAAATTTATCACTCTGTATCAATTCAATCCCCGCATCCTTAAAACCACTTACAAATTCAATTATTATCCGATTTTGAGGGTAAAGAAGTCTCTACAAGCTGGTACCGTTGTGAACCACCCCAGAAGTACCTGGATCTGCACATGAAGTGTAGAGTGTAGTATGAGTACAACTGATCCCATGTACTCAATAAATAACAAACCTAACCTTGGGCTGAAAGCAGTGACGAGCTCGAAAACAAATCAGTATCCAACACTAGTAATTAAGAACAACTCTTATATAGTGAAGACAGTAAAAAAATAACTCAAAGATATCATGTTCATCTCGTTCACAATTACGGGAATTTAGGCATGCTTTCCAAATATAACAGTCAAAGCCCAATACAGATATGACATTTCATTTATTAGCTAGCGTGGTGAGAAGATATCTCTATGCCTACATGTCAAAAATACATGTCAAGTCATTAATATTACAGTGAAACCATCAAGTAAAACTCATTCTCAGCACACTCGCGGTACCTGGCACAAATGCCCCTTATCAACACACACAACCACACTCGCACTGTACAAGTGTCTGACACAATTACCCCTAACCAAAGCACATATATATCTCTGTTCCTGCGCTCACTATAATATCAAATTCTGGAGGGGTGGATACTGGCCCAAGCACTAATCAATAATCGGCATAACCATTGCGGTGTGCAACCCGATCCACAATCTGTTGCGGCATGCAACCCGATCCAAATATCAATCCATTGAGTCATGCAACTCAATCCAAATATTACTCACAACATGGCTCTATGGCCCACATAAGTCATTAACCGCTCAAGTCTCAATGGATCACATCTCATAGAACTCAGCCAAACAGTATCACATATAGAAGGCAACAACAACATGTGATATGACAATCAAATAACGTACAAAGACTGAGATATAACTTGCGGAAGAAGAATTATAACTGAGGAAATGACTACAACTAAGGCAAATAGCTCAAAAATTCAATAATAGCTCTATTATGTCTCAAACAAATAAGCACAGAGCCTAGACATGTTTTTAGCATGAATCACAGCTCAAATAATCATACAAGTAGAGAAAACATGGATATAACAAGGTATGATAGCAAAACAAGTCATGTAATAGTCTACAGTCCACTCGGATCTTGAATACCTCGGTGCACGCACACATGCCCATCACCCCCAACATATCTCATATATCATAGTTTTCAGGGATAATTACCCTCAATACCATGTTTATATATGTTACTTACCTCAAAACGCGGGGATCAATACTCCAAAAAACCATTTTCACGTGAATCGGTCTCTGAACGACTCGAATCTAGCTACAAAGAACTTAATATCATCAAATAGTGCAGTAGGAAACGACACCGAACAATGAAACTTCGATATTTAACAAAATCAAAAAGTCAACCTGGGCCCACTCGGAACCCGACAAAACTCACAAATCCCGAGCACCCATTTAAATACGAGTCCAACCATACCAAATTCATCCAATTTCGACCCTGAATCGGGGTTCAAATCCTCAAATTATATTTAGAATTTTTATACTGAAAATCCTCAATTACTTCACTTAGATTCATCAATTAAATGCTAAAAACAAGGATAGAATCATGGATGATGAACAATTCTGAGTAAAAAATACTTACCCTAATTCAAATCGTGAAAATTCCCTGCAAGATCGCCCAAATCCGAGCTCTATAACTCAAAATGTGATAAAATAACCAAAACTTTCGAAATGGAGTACTTAAATAATCTGCCAAGCATATGCATCGCGAAAGCGGAAGCCA